GACTGCCACCTCTTGGGCCTAATCCTGAGACAAGTTCTTATGCTGAGAAGCGAAGGTCCTTCTTTGGAAGGTTTCGGTCTGCCAAGCCACACTTGGTTCAAGGTCTTGCGTGCTACCTGACAAGTGATTTGCTTGGCCGCACGTGCTCTAGGACAAGTTGCGACACACCAGCCACCTTTAAGTGCCACACATGTATGGCCACATCCACTACAGCACACATCTTCTTCTGTCAAGACCACGCTATCCTGCACCAGTGGAACAATACCTGTCATCGACTTGGGAACAACTTGGACAAACCTCCACCTGCAAGAATCACCGAAGGCTCTGTAGTACGCAACAAAAAGATCCAGTGCTGCCAAAAGGCAAAAGGTGGAGGGCACTTAATGCACCTTCATTCTTTGACTGGGATTGAACAAGTCATGTTGGTTCAGTGCGACGAGCATTATGATTGCACCGAAGTTGTCAAAGTTTTGATACGAGACTTTGGGTTCTTTCCGTCCCGGCTCCAGAACCCAAGTGAGCCACATATTTTATTTCTTTTGCTTTTGTGTTAAGTTGTTTTTATTTTTAGCTCGTGCATTTTCAATTCAAATGTTAGCACTGGGGCTGAAGTTTCAATCTGCAGGAGTCTCTTATCAATGTTCAGCAGAAGTCTTCATGGGGGATGACTTCAAGAATGTACGATGGCTGAATGTTTATGAACCCTACATGGACGCAGTTCGGCAGTATGCAACGGTGATGCACTCAGTGCATCATGGACTCTTCACTAATGACATTGAACGTGAGCTGGGGTTGGTGATGCAGCAGTTCAACCAAGAGTGGTGTCTGGGAATGGATGTTTGTCCTGCGTGTATTGGCGGATCTTCACCAAAAGGACCTCTTGCTCATGTGAGTTTGTTTTTTTCCGAAATTTTTTTTTCTGATTTGGTTTATCGCAGACGATGGACGGGTTCGAATCAGCAAATAAAAAATCAGTGGAACAAGGAGGTGGAGGAAATCACGGAGTCTTCGAATTTGCAAGGGCATGGTTCAAACAGACAGTAGTGACAGACTACGTGAGGGACAGTTCAAAGTCCAAAGCTGGGAAACTGGGTTGCGAAGCTCAACACAAAGCCGGAACTGAGGGAGGGTCATCAAATGGAAAGGATGTTGACCGAATAATTCATGTGGACTGTGCAGCTCACGGAGTTGTTCATCGTATATACGGTACTTATTTTGTTTATTTTATTTTTGTCGGTCTATTTAATAAAAAAAATTAAATAGATGCTAAAGGTGGGGAGCGGCTTATATACGCTGACGATGTTATGAATTGGCTGATGACGTTTGGCCGTGTTGTTATCTTTGGGTATGATATCGCTTGCAAACTGCTGTCACATTGGCACCACTATGGCCTTTGGACCACCCTTTCAACCGCTGCTCTGATTATTCTGTTTATTCCGGGTATGCATGTTTATGCTCATGGTAAGGACTGCCAATGTTTGTTTGGCCCTCGGGTAATTATGGGATTGGGTCTATCAATGGACGGGGAGGGACATGAACAAGTCAATGCAACATTATCACGAAGCATTGGTTTGACACAGCGGGAAACTACGGAGAATCGCGAGATGGACATTGTGCTGGTTGTTTCACATCACAATCAAGGGAAGATACGTACTTTTGCAGCATGGACCGCTGGGAAGCTGGCTTTGGCAAGTGCGGGATTGAAGGGCTTGTTGGCTTTAACTCCGGTTGTGGATGAGTTAAAGCTGGAAGAATCTTCTTACAAAAATGTAGTTGTGCGCACAACAGATCTACGCCAGCGCCTTCTGAGCACATCTGGAACCGGAGTGGCATCAACAAGAGAGTCTCTGCGTGAAAAGATTGATGCCATAGCCCGAACTATCCTGGCTGTTGAACGTCATTTGAAGTCCGCACCTGGTACCAAGATGGCGGCAAGGTTGAAGAGTGCCTTGTCATCGTCATTTGTGGCATTCTACAGGCTTGCTGCTGAATACAATGGTGATAATTTTTGGTTTTTGGTTGACTTGGTTTTTTAAATTTTAATTTTTTTGGTGTTGGCAGATTTAGATCCATCAAAGCCTTCTCTCAACTTTGCCACTGTTAAAAAAGAGCTAGTTACTACTTCGGAAACTATGGATTCCAATAATGTCAAGTTGATGGTCACTCTATATTGGCGGCATTGCGAGGATGTTTACCATCACTTGAACTACTTGCAAAACACAATTGACTACTTCGATAACAGGGCCAGAACTTATTGGAGGAAGGTTAGGGGTTTGTTGGATATTGATGGGGCAGTGGGATCAGTGATTCTTGAGAGGGATCGTCTTGCCTTGTTGCATATTGTTCGGAGGAGAGTGTTGGTGGAGTCTACTTATGCAAATGCCGCAAGAGACATATTTGAGGACAGTGTAGGAATAATGAATCGTGAACATTTGAAGCAAATTGGTGACATGTTTTCTGCACATGTGTCTTGTCTTGGTGGGCAGAATATGCGTACGTAAGAGTGTCTGTCTTGGGCTTTGGCGGAATATACTGGTGTGAGAGTCCAGAAGAAGAATAAATGCATTAGTTTATAATTGACTTTGAATTTAAGTTTATTTTTTTTAGGTCTATCTTATCCTCCGCCAAAAAAAAAAGAAACAAGCAAGCTAAAAAAGGAAAACTAACCGAAACCGCATCAAAGTCACATCAGCGCTAATCTTATCTGTAAATAGGAGGCACTCGGCCCCTCTTCCTTCTTTCCATGCCTGAAACTGCAGTTAGTGTCCTTTTTCGTTTGAGCTTCAATTCATCAAGCATTACCCCACCATTGCTTTCCCCCTTCTCGCTTTCCCCTTGCAGTCCCTCCCTTTCATGGTCCTTTTGTTTGGTTGCAAGCGCATTTGTCTTCGCTGCCTCCTCTAAACATGACTCTGGGTGCGTTGAACACAGTTGCTCCGCAGCCATTGGTAAGCTCTCAATGTCCACAAAAACAACACTAGTCTCGTCAGAATTCTCATTCCTTTTATCTTCTTCTTCCTCAATCTCCTCATATCCAATCCCGATGTCCGAGCTGGCATCACCACCTTCAGCAGGAGCAGCACCATCACCACCTCCAGCATAGGCTGCTATGGGCTTCAGCTTAAAGTTAATGCTGCTTTTCAATCTTTGAAGCATTGCACACTCCTGGTAACAATGATAAGTATGAAAGCATACAATTGCTCGTTCCACGGCTAACCTTTAGTGTCATCTTCTTATAGTGGTCCACAGGAATCGGAAACCGCTCCATCGAAAGGCCGTAGTAACCCTTGGGAGTCATCAATTTGGATAATGGGAACTTTGTCGCCCGATGAGTTATTCCATGTGTTTGGAGGGCCATGTTCAAGCGTTCAAGGAGCATAGCATTCACAAGGACTCTCTGTGAAATCACATCCATCGGATTCTTTGCAGAAATTGCTTGTGATTGGGTTTGTTGTCTTTTGCTTTCTCGTGCCTGCTCAAACGCCACTAATACAGGGACTCGAGTTTCCGGTACTTTCAGCATGTCACGACTGACTGCTTTGGTAAACTTTCCAACACTTGAGCTCTCTGTGTGTCCTGTTTTAGTGTTGTAAAACCATCCAATATGCTGCACGTCATGGTTTGTGTCTTTTGCAAGGTTAGAGATCTTATTTTTTTGGCGGGGGCGGAAACTTAACTTACCCAAAAGCTTAAGCAATTCAATAACATCGGTTTTGATTTCCCTCTCTTCTTTAGCAACTTCTTCATCTGTCATTTCCACGAATCTGTCTGAATTGTTCATTTTCTCTTTCTCTGCCACAAAGAAATTCCACAATTCAACGTGTTCATCCAGTCTTCTCTCTTCAACCACATGGTAAAATGATTTTCCGAATTTTTTTATATTGTCTTGTTCCCATTGCTGGAAGTTCAATGGTTTGTAGTTGGGGTCGAGAGCAAGTTGTGTTCGGTTGTGTTCTTCAAATAAAAATACATTTTGCATAACGTTAGTAACTGTCTTTCTTATTTCCTTTTCTTTACCTTGCACATGTTGGCCAGCCCATTTTCGATAAATGGTGTACGCTGAAGCCAACGGTTTCTCGCGCAACTTTGCAGGTGCCATCCGTTGTGCTATAACAATAGGCTCTTTTCCTTTATTTGATGAAGTTGTGTTGATGTTTTCAACAGCTGTTGCACTTTGAGCATGACGATTGCTTGCGGCTTGATCATTGCTTGTGGCTTGATCCAGAAGGGTTTGTAGCTTGATTCTCTCCTCTACAGTTAAAACAACCCGACCACCATCCTTTTGTAAAGATGTGGAGTTTCGAATTTGGTCTTGTATTGTTTGAATGCCATCATTGTTTGCATTCATGGTTGAAGCATCGAGTCCACTTGAGCCAGAACTAATCCCCCCACCATCAGTATGCTCCACTGCTTCTGAGTTTATTTTTTTGGTCATTCGGCGAATGAATGTCTGTACAGGTAAATGCGAGAGTCATTAGAGTGGTCAGCAGTCAACACCTGTCAAACATCACTACACTAACATCAACAACAGCAATATCCTTTCCAAACTGCTGTGAATAGTTCTGTCTTGCTTTCAGATATGCCTTTTGCGCTCTTACACCCCGATTCTCTACAGCGTACAATAGTATTCTTTGCTCCTCATCGGTAAGAGCATTTTCGCCACGTCCAAGTACTTTTTCTTTTCCCTGCTTTGTCAAGCATCAGTTTTTGAAATACTTACACATGCTGTTTACCATGACGGACACTTTTTTTTTTTTGGTTTCGATGTGAATGTATTTTGTAATTAACACTTTGTCGAACAACTACTTCTCCCCAATTTCTCAGAACAGTATAGTTAGGCCCGGCTCACATTCTGGACAGCAAGTGACTTTGCACCCCAACCCCCCTTGTAGACCTCCCGTCTACTTCCTCTTTTTTCTTGGGCACCTTCCACTCTACTCTGTAGTTCAGAAGTGCAGGTCTCCTTTGAGGGCTCCTGAACTACCACCAACTTCATTTTTTGGTTCCACCAGGGTTTGAACCGGGAACCTGCAGCACATCGGCATCAGGTCTTAACCACCTGAGCCATTGATCCCCGTTTACCATTCCCCGTTTACCATGACGGACACTGTTTACGTATGTTTTTCCGTTTGTTTATGTTGTCAGTCTTGTTTTTTTAGCTTTTTATTTTATCTCATTTTGAGTCTCATTTTGAGGCTGATGAACAATCAGTGAGATAAAATAATTTTTTGTTTATCCAACATACGACCTAAAAAGACCAGGTGGTTTAGCCACCCCCCCCCCCCCCCCCCCCCCCCCAAAAAAAAAAAAAAAAAAACGTCCCCACACACTAATTGTAAGCCAAAAGAGCTTTGCACAGCTTCGAAGCAGCCGCAGATGGCGACGGATTTGATCGTGAAACCCGAGCCGCTAATCTCTGTGCAAGCGACTTGTCCAATACAATTCGCGAGTCATTCGCCAACATCAGCGCTATTCCCAGAGAGTTGTAATCAACTGCTGTTTTCAACGCGTAATTATCATGTGTTGAAGGATCGACTCGCGGGTCCCGCAACAACAGCTCAACTACTTGAAAGTTTCGTTTGTAAACCGCAAGCCGCAGCGCCACGTTATCCAAGAAGGATGGATCCACGCGCGGTGATTCCAGGAACAAGCGCGTGATTTCATGGAATCCGAGGTGAATTGCGGTAAGCAGTGGCCAATCCGAGGGAAGCGTGGGATCAGGAAATTCTTGAAAATAATAATCCGTGTAAAACCCATTGTGGTCCATTGGGTTGACGCGGGGATGGTTGAGGAGTAACTCTACTATTTCAATATTCCGGTATTTGACTGCTGCCGAAAGTGGGTAATTCGGATTCATTGAAACAAACATGTTGTAGTTGTTGTTGTAGACGGGCGAGGGGTCAACACGAGGATCCTCCAGCAATAGTTTGACCATTTCAGTACGATCAGATTCACAAGCAAGACGTAAAGCCAGGTTTTGTCGATCTGACGGATCAACTCTCTTGTCCTTGAGAAGTCTCTTGAATAGATCAGTGAGCCCTCTTGACACAGCGAGAATCACAGCGGTGTTCTCGATATCGGATGGATCGACCCGTGGATCATCCAGCAGCAAATATGTCAATTCAAGAGCACGCCAGTTGATGGACCAGCGCAAGATCCTGTTTGAACTGACGGCAGGATCAAAGTCCTCTGTGTCTCGAAACAGTCTTTGGACCATTTTGGTCATTGAAGGGGCTCCTTGCCGTGACCACATGTTTTCAACTTTGACCTCTGAGAGAGTCCACCCTTGTCCTGTAGATGGTTCAGCTAGCACTTGGCCGTAGAAAGCAGCTTGATAGTTGAGTGGGAGGATGGTCCAGGATCCTTTTTCCTTCACTGTTTCAGTAAAAGTACAAAAGTCGGTCATGGTTGATGCAGCGAAGGAGTAAAGGATGTGGTCTCGAGAGAGCGAGATGTTTGTGTACACAAATGGAGCAAGGACATGCTTAGAAGCCAAGCCGATGGATCTCAAATTAAAACCAGTAATTGGGATCTTTAGAAGGATTTCTCGGATGAGCTCAGTTGGGAGGTCGGAAATGGTAAATTGGTTTCTCATATATTGTTTTTCTAATAAAAGTTCGGGTATGCTTTTTTTATGCATGTGAAGTCGTTGCTGAACCTGCCTTTGAAGCTGCTTGAGACCCCTTCACTGACTTTGCAGTAACCTTCTTCTTTCTCGCACCCATCCAAAGGAATTCCAAGTTCAAGCAACGCGTGTCTTAATTTTTTGGACGTCGGTTTAATATTCATTGTTTAAGCAATTGGTTCTTACATGCGTAATTTTGAATCAAGTACGACATCCAAATCATGAAAGGCTGGGAAACGCATAAGGGAAAGAAAATTTCACTGTAACGCCCCAAACGAAAAAATAAAAACATGCGACATACATCGGTGATCATAAAAGACGCGTAAATTTCGTAGCATGTGATACTCAGGATAATAATACTTCTTACGACTGTATAATGTGCGTGTTTCAAACAAGCGTTTACAAGAATGAATAGAATAGAAGTACAAAAAAAAAATCGAACCATTGTCTTGCAAAATAACTTGCCCAATAGTGGACATGTTTGATTTCAAATGCTTAATCGCAAAACCCATTGAAACGACGGAGCAAAAGAGATCGGTAGCCAAGTCGGCCGTGTTATACGCGATTCCACTCAATGGAAACTGGTAGTAATTACATTGATTGGCGGTATCATCCCATTGCCCGCCAGATTTAATGATATCAGTCAAAGACCAGCTAGCACGATGTGCAAAAAGAAGGCAGATGCAGCGGAAGACCCACGTGTTATAACGACTGATGACGTACGTCTTGTATAGAATAAAGAAATCAAAGGAGAGGTAGAAAAAGTGGGAAAAGATGTTAACTAGAAGTTCTCCGACAACGCAATTGTAAGATGTCAAGTTGAAGGCGTAAAAGAAGATGATCATGTATGCGATGCACCAAAAGTTGAAAACTGTCTGTTTTAATAAGTTGGTGGGCGCGACGTTAAAACAAGATACAGAAAACCATATTTAGATTCGTATACTTTCATACCATCACTACGGGCACGAGACTGATTCTTCGCTGTCCTGCAGGTTGGCTAAAGTGCTGGTGGAGAGTTGTAATAATCCCAGTGACTGAGATTTCCGTTGTGAAACCACCCATCAGCCCAAGAATGAGAAAGTTCTGGAGAGTCAGCGGATTTGATCCAGAACTCGCAGTTGGATCTGCAGCATCGATATCCGTGCTATTGGCAAAGTTGAAAGGCATTGGGGGGAGATTTTTTTAGTGACAATTGTAAATCTGCACAATCAAGAGAAGCATGAAAATAAAGAAGATTGCGAAACTGTCTTATTATTTGCACGCAATTATTTAGAAGAACAAAAGCAATACTTAAAACTCATTTTTATTTCACAAATCAAATATATAAACAGGCGGAAAAATGGGAAACTCTGGCTCTTTAAACCATCTGAGCTTGAACGGCCGCGATTTGCTGGTTGATGGCAGCCTGGGCATTGACATCAGTGGTCGCCCCCATTTGCTGTTGAAGGGCTTGAATCTGGGCAGTCAAGGCAGAGTTGCGATCTTGATTTGCCGTATTCCAGTTGTTGTTCCAGTTTGAATTCCAGCTGTTACCATTCCAGTAGTTGCTGCTAGCCCCGTTGTTCCAGTATGGATTCCATGCATTTGCGGCAGCCGCGTGGTTGTTCATTTCTGTCTGGACGGCATTGATCTGGTTCTGGATTGCCGCCTGCGCACTGGCATCGGTTGTTGCGGCCATCTGCTGCCGCATCGCCTGGATCTGCGCAAGGAAACGCTTGCTGCGAACCGGCGCCGCCGGGGTTCGAGGCGGGTGCCCAGTACGGCCCAGCGAACCAGCCCTGCGCAGTCTGTCGGTTCTGCTGGTTCTGCGTGGCGACAATCTGCTGCTGGATGGCGGCTTGGGCGGCGGGATCGCTGGTGGCGGCCATTTGCTGCTGGAGGGCTTGGATCTGCGCCAAGTAGCCGGTCTGGTAGCTTGAAGGAGCCCAGTTGGCTGGCGGGTGGCCAGCCAGGGACGCGATCTGGTTCTGGAGCGCAGCTTGCGTGTTTCCAGTCTGGTCGGTGGAGGCAGCTTGCATTTGTTGGATTTGCTGGATTTGTTGTTCGGCTGGTGTTTGGGGACTTGGTAGAGCAAAGGCGAAGGAGGAGAGGAATGCTGCAATGAAGAGGCTTTTCATGATTGTCATTTTGTGTTTGGAATCTTTTGAACGCGACAGAGAGGCTGTTTTATATCTGTTTGGGGTGGCGCGGGTATTCGCGTTTTGTTTATTGTTTGTTTTGTTATGTGAGTGGAGTGGCGCAGTTCTTCTTTTGTTGTTTATTTTGCCCTGATTTGAAATGCTGCTGGCGATCCCAATTCCGTCGGTCTTCTGGAAGGGATCCCAAATTTAGAATTTGGCAATAATATATTTATAATTTGTGTAATTTCCGATTCTCTTAAACCATGCTTTTCAAGGTTATTAAACTGCATGGTCGGCGGCGCGCGGTTGATCCCGCACTTGGAACAAATCTTGACTTATCTTGTACGTAAAGAATACCCACAGCACTGCCCACTTCCAGTGATAATCTATTATACCAAAAAAAAGACATTACAGAGAATCTGATAGCAATGGGTGTGCCTGTATCGAGATTTCCGAAAACTCTGTATTACAACCGTATATCAGATGTAAGTCATAATCATTGTGAATGATTGTGACTATTCATTGAAGAGTTTTCAACCCAACACAAGGTCCAAAAATTCCTCAAATCAAAACACGGAAACCAAGTATAAAGTTTTCAATCTCTGCAACGAGCCCGGCTACTCTTATCCCTTTGATGCCTTCCCAAATATCTCAGCGTACAGTCAATTTCCGGATCATTCGCCGCCTCCTTTCCACCTGCTGATTGAAATAATGTCTGATATGCTTACTTGGTCTCTAAGTAACCCCGGAACCACGATAGTTGTGCACTGCTAAAGGCGGAAAGGGACGAACAGGAGTTGTATGCAGCACGTACATGCTTTTGACTGGAGTATACGAAAATTCCCAAACTTGCTTGGAAAACTATACGCTGCTGAGAATGAATAAGGGCTGGGGAAATGGTGTTTCGGGACCAGGACAAATCAAATGGGTTCACTATTTCCAAGAATATCTGAAACTCGTTACTTGTGGAAAGGCTTTCCCTCTTCTGGACTATAATCTTGTAAAGAAATTGAACTCGGGATATTATCTCGTAAGAAGCGGCTTGTTGGTGTAGTTGTCGAGGGTTTGATTGTCAAAGGAACGCATCATCATAGTTGTTGGGAATGGCAAAGTTGGTGGGCGTGATTCTGGCTACCTTTTGCTTCTCGCTTATTAAACCGATTGGTTTTTTAGACTATCAATTTTTGAAGTCCGATAGGTGAAAGCTCGAGTCTTGACTCAATCCCAAAGTATGATTCCAGCTGTTCCATCAATAGTCAATCCACGCTGAACGACAGTGATGTTCGAAAATCAACAAATTCAATTGAAGTTTGGCCGTCAAGATGATAC